GGGGAAGGGGGAGAGAGAGAGGAGGAATGGATAGCTGATCGTTTGTTGTGTGTTGTGTGTTGCCCGTCTCTTCTCAGCGGCCAAGGATGAGGGGGAGAGGGAGGATTCTGTGCCGCAAAGCGCCTCAGGACGCAATGAGCGCACCACCACAAAACGTAAGCCGCCAAACGCGACAAGGCAGCCAGCTGCAAAGGAAAGAGCCTCACTGTTGTGCTCTCCATCCATCCATCCATCCATCCATCCGTCCAGGTCTCCGTCCGCCCGCCTACGTCCCTCCGCGCAACAAGGAGGGCAGGTTCTGCAGCCGCAGCATCGAAGACCAAGACAAGGGCGACAAACACGAGAGGGACAAGGAGACCAAGGACAACAACAAGACACCGAAACAACAGCCGCACCGAGACCCCTTGCCGCCGTGTCGCGGCCCCGGCCTCTGGCACGACAGCAGGGGCATCTTTGCGCGCCTGGGGGGTCGCGTGGAGTTCTTCGCATTCAGCAGCCACGAGGGGTCGGCTGACGACCGGCGGCGGGCTGCCTTTGGGGCAGCGAGTGAGGCGATGAAGCGTGCGATCGAGGTAGAGACGGAGGAGAGAGAGGAGGCGGCGGCCAGACGGGCTGCCGAGGTACAGGAGGAAAACAGGCGGCAGATGGCGCAGCGGCAAGAGCAGGCCAAGAAGAAAAACACGACCAGGGCCAAAGAAACACGTGAGTGTCCAGTCCCCACGCAGGGAGGGATCCACTCCACCGGCTGTCATGTCATCCGCCCGCCCATATGTCCCCGTGTGTGTGTCCATCCAACACAAACAGGTGCATTGCAGGAGGATCTGCGCAAGTGCCTGAAGGGTCCGAGGGACAAGATGCCGCTGGACGAGAACGAGTTCGGCCGGGGCCGCCGCGTCCGGCGAGGCGCAGAAGACTCCCAGTTCGTCTACGACCACTCGGCCGCCCTCTGCTCCAACGGCACACACAGCCCCACGCCAGACAGCGGCGATGACGAGTACAACGACCGCAGTGTGGTGCAGGTGGTGGTCCCTCCAGCTCGCGGCAAAAAGAGGAAGCCGCCGCCCCTTAATGACCTGGACATGCTCAACAAGAACACCGTGCAGATCATGGACCAGTCGGAGGAGGCACATGGTGGGGCCGGGAGCGCCGAAGGGGGGAGGGGGGTGGGGTGATGGGACGCACCCGCACGTGTGTGCATTTGATTTGATTTGATTTGATTGTGTGTGTGTGTGCGTGTGCAGAGGAGTATATGATGACCCTCTTCCTGACGGCCGTCAGCAGCATCGAAGGGCCCAGCTTTGTGGTGAGTCAGTGACACCCACAGCAACTACGCACACACACAGCTCACACCAGCGCTACCTGTGTGTGTGTCCCTCCCCCCGTCTGCAGTCTGACGTTCACCGTCGTCGCAAGGCCCGCCGGATGTCCATCGAGCAGCACTCCGCACACAGCCAGCCCCACACATTCCGCGGGCCCGCACACAGCCACCACCACCAGCCACCCAAGCGCCAGAGACGCACCCCCCTCGCCGCCAAGCCCCCTCCACCTCCACCAAATCGCAGGAGGCGCCGTCGTCGCCGTGACTCTGAGGAGGACTACGACGTCGAGGAGGAGGAGGAGGAGGACGAAGAAGCGGAAATGGACGATGACGACGAGACGGAATCGCCGGAGATGGAGCTGGACGACCGCATCGACGAGCTCGCACACTGGCACCTGCTGCAGGAGGCATATCGGAGGGGCTTAAAGCATGGCGGGGCGCGGCCGCCCTTCGTGCCACCTCCCCTGCTCTTCCGAGGGCCGGTGCGGCTACCCTCCCACCCACCCTCGGGCATCCGCCCGCTCATCCCGCAATGGCGCGATCTCTACCCAAGACAGCAGGACGCCACCAACCCCGCCGCCCTACTGCCCGTCAAGGCGTTCCACAGCGGCAGCTCGCCGTGGGGACTGTCCACCTTCACCGTCGTCAAGCGGCAGGGCGGCACAGATGAGGCGGAGGGGTCCGCCGATCACACCCCATCGCAGCGGTTGTTCCCCTCCTCAGGCCCATCAGGTCTGTTCAGGCCGCCCATGCCGCCCGGCAATGGAGGCGGTGGGTCATCGCACTTTGTGGAATTGCGTCCGATGGCGGGTATGGGGTTGCGTCAGATGGCGGCGTGGCCGTCCTTCAGGGGCATCGGCATGAGAGGGAGGGAGGAGCGTCTGGAGAGCCTTCCCAAGCTGGCCGCCCCAAACCAGTGGGACAGGTAGCGTAGCGGGCCTTTGCTGTGTGTGTTATGTGCGTGCGTGTGCGTGGCGTAGATTTGCCGGCCAGGCCAGTGCTGGGACGCTCTTGCTTGCGTCCATCCCATCCATCGACCCGACCATTGATTGGGATATCTTGCTGACAGACTTACTGGTGCCTGCAATGCCTGGCCATGTGTTCCTTGCTACTCACTCACCTCACTCATGCTCGAGTTCGTGTCGTGTTGTGGGAGGATGGAAACACTCATTGATTGGATTGGATTGGATGGCAGGCAACCCGAGTCGAGCTCCCGAGCAGAGCAGAGTTCGGTTTGTGATGTGCTGACTGACTGACTGACTGACCGGCACGTACCTATAGCATAGCTAGCTGTAGCTGTAGCGATATGATACGATGGATAGTGAGGTTGCGATGGGATGCCATGCGATGACACACGCATCCATCGGCTGCGCAACGGCAAGTGGGCTGGGCGGCACAGCTCACCTCACCCTGTGTGTGAATACGTGGAAGGAAGGTGTGCGTGTGTAGTGCTTGTGTGGGTGAGGGGGTGGGGGGTGTGGGGGTGGGGATTAGACACATGACTGACGCCAACCTGACTGATGAGGGAGGGAGGGAGGGAGGGGGTGTACAGACAAGATGGACACACAGAAAGAAAGAAAGAAAGAAGGAAAGACAGACAGACAGCTGCCTGGTCGAGAGACCGACCGGCCGGCCGGACCCACTGGCTCGCTTGTGTGTAGAAGACAGCAGCAGCAGCTGCTGCTGCTGCGTAGAAGGCGATGAACATGCATGATGTGATGAACACACCAACAAACCGCCAAAACAGTCGGGACCGATCATCCTTTGTATTCACAACCGCAGGCAGCGGCCACAGCTCATACACACACAACAACACAATCAATGCTCACAAAGGGCAGCCCTCGCGGCCGACTCTCGTGTCTCGTCTGTCTCCCACTTCTGGCCCGATGGCTCCCGCATCGATGACCCGCGTTGTCCTGCTGACGGGGCGGGCAGCCTCAAAGAGCCTTGACAAATCGTTGCCACAATCCAGAGCCAGAGAACACAATGTCTGAGTCTAATGGCTGGGCCGAGCATGTGTATGAGAAGAAGCGTATGTACTGCAAGTACTGCAAACACGACCAGGTGACGACTCAATATTGGTGTATGGGACCTCGGGTCCGGCCGCTGCCATTGATTTATTGAGTGCTCTCACGCCCATGAATGCCGTGTGTCTCGCCCGCCCCCTCATGAATGCAATGCACCCAATGCACCCACACAGGTCTGCCTGTCTGTCTGTCCGTCTGTCTGTGTGCCTGCCGACCGGTGAGCACCTCACACGCTTTTGTGGAGCGCACTTGACCGCTCGGCAGGCAGGCAGTCACACCCAACGCAACGCAACGCAACGCAACGCAACGCACACATGAGTACGTGTCCACGGATGAAGGTCTACGTCGGTGTCTCTCGCAGCCAAATCAAATCGCTCAGCTCTGTCAGTGTAGATGACGTGTTCGCTGAGCGGTTCGTGAGGCCGAGAGAGAGAGAGAGAGAGAGACATGCAGCCCATGAACGAAGGAACAAGAACTCACGGCGATGTTCCTCAAATCACTCAGTCAAATCACTGGTGCACACACACACACAGAGGGCCGCGAAAGTAAGCGGCGCCTGTACGTCTTGTTGAAGTGCAGTGTGTGCGGGCGCCGCGCACCCCACACTCTCGACACGAAGGAAACAGCACATGGACAAATACACATGGGAAATCAATAATCGATACACGCTCGTCCTCGCTGCCTGCCAGTGCTGTCTGTCTGTCTGTGTGTCCTCGTGTGTCTGTCTGTCGGCGACCATGGGAGCAGCCAGCTTCACCGTTCACACAGGCGCCAGCCAACGAATTTTGTGTATGTATGTAGTGACATAGACAAATGAATCAATCGGCAGGTACAGTGAGAATGTACGTATGCAGTGAGTGAGACAAATGAATCAACACAACGAACGAGAACTGACTGACACATCAACGAATGAATCGTCTGTCTGTGTGTATGTATGTGGGTACAGTGTGTGTGGCGGTTCGTTCGTGTGCATCCCCAATCCCAATCCCTCCCTCCCTCGATGGATGGACCGATTGATCAGCACCAGCCACATGAACAGCAGCAGCCACAGCAGCCCCAGCACTGGTACTGCCACCGGCAGCCACAGCAGCCACACACCTGCTGCCACCCGCACCTGCATCTCGTAGACGCCTGCTCGTCGGCCGCGCCATCTGATAAGCCACACACACACACACAGACAGACAGACAGACAGTATGGATGCTTGTGGGTCAGTCAGGTGAGGCAGGCCCTTCATCCGTACCGTCCGTAGCGGTCAGGTTGGCGGGTGTCTTCCAGAGAGTGTGCACGATGCCTTTGCTGACGTGGTAGTTGCGCTTCTCCATGCCCTCGATGTCGTCGCCCTTGACGACGCTGGCGAGGACCTCACTGGCCTCCTCGGTCGCCGGGTCCTGCGTCCACTTCACCTCGCCGAACTCCAACTCGAGCAGCGTCTTGAGGAGACGCTCGCCCTCCTCTCGGGTCATGTTGGCCGGGACTTCCACTGTGCCGGCTGCAGTCACTGAACCGCCTGCAAAGGAGACAGGCCAAGCTTGTGCAAAACAGTGAGTGTATCAACCAACAGTCGTGTGTCCGCAAGCAACTCAATGGCCATCGCGGGTGTGTGAGTGTGTGATGTGATGTATACGCACCGGCAGGCGACACGGGCGACAGCTGGCGCTTGAGGAGCTGGCAGTTGGCGACGCCAACCAAGGCGACAAGAAGAAGCAGGCCCAGGACACGGGACATCTTCGGTGGAGCGATAGTGGTAGTGCAAAGAGGAGGAGAGAGGGAGTTGAGTGACGGAGGGCTGCGCTGCTTCGAGATAAGTCCGCGAGATGAAACGAAGGCAAGACGCGGTGGTAGACGAGACAGGCTGCCGGCCCGAAATCATGTTTGTTCTCCCTGCCGCTCTCCTGTGCGAAATCTCTCTGCGTTTCGGTGACAGGAACCCTAAGCCACGCACCGCGTCAGATGGATGTCTCCGGCTGGAAACACCTTAATGCCCTATGGATACTAGTGTGTTGGGTCGTGGGGGAGCCTTGACTATCTCCCTAGGAGGGCTTCCTGTGAGACAATCCGAAACCCTAACCCTAAACCCTAAAGGTTTCGACGAGCTTCTAGCGAGAGAATCTTCCACTTGCCTTTTTCCTCCTCTCTCCCTCCCCGGCCTTAACCGGAGCAGCGATCTGCCTGAGATCTGTGGTTTCGTGCTCTCTCGCCATGAGAGTACTGCGAGCGACAACGTTTCCGTCTCTGCTGCTGGCGTGCTGTGCCTTCGGCCCTCGGTGTGTCAGCGGACAGAGGTGGGAGCCAGGACAGACGGCTCTCAAGTTCCGGAGTCAGTTTGGCAGCTCACAATTTGTGTTCGGTACGAAAGGCAATTAGGCAACAATAACGCATCTTGTCCTCGTCCTCACCAAGAGTGTCTTATGTGTATGTTGACAGACTTGGCTCGAATGAGTCCTGTCGACGCGGGCAAGGGCGGCGAACTGCGGAAAGCTGATGTGGGGTCAATGCCGTCCCTCGCCGGCAACGGCGTCTCGCAGGTCCTCTACAGGCTGTATCCCTGTGGCATGAACAGGTCAGAAACACACACACATAGACAGACGCACTCAATGAATGCTCGAGGCACACTGACTGACACGTATGGTTCTCTCTCTGTGTGTCATCCATCAGTGTGCAGATGCATCCCCGCGCCAGTGAGCTGTTCTACGTGATCAACGCGACGGAGCTGGTCGTCGGCTTTGTGGAGGAAAACGGTGGCCGCACCGTCGAGAACACCCTCAAGACGGGCCAGCTGTCCTTCGTGCCAAAAGGCCTCATGCACTGGCACTACAACGCCGGTAGGAGCGGCGCACCGGACCGACAGCCAAGCTAGATAGAATTCCTTTATGTGTTGGTTAATCGACCTTCTTCTGTGATCACTGTAGGATGCGAGGACGCTGTCTTTTTGTCGACATTTAATCACGAGGACCCCGGTGTGGTGACGATTGTCAACGCCTTGTTCGACATCAACGCGACGTCCCTGCAGGCGGCACTCAACGTCGACCGCGCGCTGGTCGCCGACCTCAAAACGAGTGTACCCCCGTCACCCGTCCCAGGCATCGCAGAGTGCCTCAGGAGATGCGGGCTGGAAGGTAGGCATTCCATTCAGCATTCAGCAGTCACTCTCACTCTCACCGTCCGCCGTGCAAGTGTGTGTGTCTGTGTGTGTGTGTCATATAGCTGTGGATCCGTGTGAGCTCAAGCGGTGCGGCAACCATGAGCGTTGCAGGGTCAACGACGAGGGCAAGGCGGTGTGCGAGTGCAGGGACCAATACGCGAGGGACGAAAACGGCGACTGCAGACACGTCGGGGGCTGGGGCGAGGGGTAGATATGATATGTATCGAGATACACACACACTATCCATCCATCCATCCAGCCATCCATCCATTGTGCAGTGCATCCTCTCACTGACTCAGTCACTCCTTCATCGTCGGCTGCCTATGTATAGGTGTCACGTAGAGGGGTGTTAGGTAGGCTAGGGGGAGACAGACAGAGGGCGGCGGGACGGGACGGTACGGGAAAGGACAGCTGGACGCTTCTTTTTTACGTGTGTGCTGTATTGTGACATGGTCATGGGCCGTCCACCCAGCTCAGCCGCCTTCATACATACGTCCATCCATCCATCCATGGCCCTTCGTCTCTTATTTGTAGTGAGTGAATCGGTGTGTATCCTTTATCTATCGCTGTGTGTGTGTGTGTGTGTGTGTGAGTCACTGACACAACGAACGCGGGCAGGCAGGCAGGAAACCACGCCACGCCCTCTGGCCTGGCCGCCTGGGTGGCGGCCGGCCGCGTGTGGACTGCCTGCCTGCCTGCCTGATTGTTTGCCGTTTACTGTTGGCCATCCATCCATCTATGCTGCCTGGCATCCATGTGCTGGCTGGCTGCATGTGGCGACGGACGATGGGTGCGACTTACTTACTGCTTTAGTGGGTGGGTGGGGCTGGGTCGGATAGAGGCTTGGCTTGGCTTGGCTTGGCTGGGGTGTATTTGTTTGTCTCCTTCACTACCGTGAAGCGAAGCCGATCATCCTGGCTGGGGGCGGGGCGTGTCGATAGGGCAGGCAGGAAGGCGGAGAGAAAGAGGGAGGAGTGAAGTGCCTTTGCTTCGGTCGAGGAGGCGTGTGTCGTGCGTGTCGTGGTGTCGCTATACTCTGTAACTAGGCAGGCATCTGTAGTTTTTTCCAGGCGTTCTAGTAGTGGTCCAGGTCTGTCTTGTGTCTTGCCTTCATCCTTGAGGGTCACCTTTCGTCTGGCCCTCTCGGAGTCCTTCGATCACCGTCTCGTCGCCCTTCCATGTCACTCGTGGCATCGTGTGTGGTGGATGGGTGGCGGGGCGGCGGCCGCAGGACAGAGAGGGCAGACCAAAGGAAGCAAGCAACACACACACACGCCAAAAAACAGACAGACAGACAGACAGACGATGGAACCACTAGCTGTGTTTGGGCTGACTGACTTCTTAAGCCGTGTGTGTGTGTGTGCGTGCGACCGACACACCCACACGGCTGGGCTGCTGACTGAATGGCCGATGAATGCATTGTGTGGAGTGAATGGGCCAAGAGCGCACGCAACCATGGAGACAGACAGGCAGGCAGGCATGAACACACACGCACACACACACACACAGAGGGAGAGAGAGGGGCACATGCGCAGTGCACGCCCCCTCCCTCCCTCCCTCTCTGCACACACAGCCCACCCCTGCGCACATCCGTGTGTGGGAAGGTGCCTGCCTGCGTGCTGCGCACTCCCGCACACGCGCATTCACGAAACTCGCAAACCCTACATAGCATAGTTAGGGTTTAGGTATAGGGTTTAGGGTGTGGGGTTTCTCAAACCCTGCGAGCTTAGAAGTGCTCGGGGGAAGGCACGCGCACAATTGCGGCAGATCTCCGCAGAGAGGCTCACAGGAAGGCCATACACGCAGTCAGGAGCAGCCAGAAGATCAAATAGGCTGACATCTCTCTCTGTATGCGCGTCTGTCTGTGTGTGCAGGTCGAGATGGCCGTGTTCCGCCACGACCCGGAGGCTCATTCGGGTGCCAGAGGATTGCTCTCGATGAAGGCTTTGCTATGCGCCGACCAATCGGCCTCTGCGGAACTTCTCTCTGACCCCCTCCCTCTCCCATTTTTGTGCATCTCCGCAGGCCCGTGTTTGGCTCTGTGGATGCGGCCCGGTCCATCCGACGCATGGGTGTGGTGCATCAGCTCATAAACCACACAGGTGCCAAAGGAGAGGTCAGCAGCAGCCCCACACACAGAGCACCGACGCTGGCGCGATTTTCACTTTCTGTAGGGTCACCCTTGTCGAGTGTCTGCAGGCCCACAGAGACCTGATAGACAAGATCCAAGAGGTGGATGTCATTGTGGGGGCGCACTATGGACCGGAATAACATCGAGAAAATCTCACCTCCTCGCTTGACCCCGTCAGCCGCCCACACACATAGACAGACAGACGCACTCAATGAATGCTCGAGGCACACTGACTGACACGTTTGTATGGTTCTCTCTCTGTGTGTCATCCATCCATCAGTGTGCAGATGCATCCCCGCGCCAGTGAGCTGTTCTATGTGATCAACGCGACGGAGCTGGTCGTCGGCTTTGTGGAGGAAAACGGTGGCCGCACCGTCGAGAACACCCTCAAGACGGGCCAGCTGTCCTTCGTGCCAAAAGGCCTCATGCACTGGCACTACAACGCCGGTAGGCAGGAGCGGCGCACCGGACCGACAGCCAAGCTAGATAGAATTCCTATATATGTGTTGGTTAATCGACCTTCTTCTGTGATCACTGTAGGATGCGAGGACGCTGTCTTTTTGTCGACATTTAATCACGAGGACCCCGGTGTGGTGACGATCGTCAACGCGCTGTTCGACATCAACGCGACGTCCCTGCAGGCGGCACTCAACGTCGACCGCGCGCTGGTCGCCGACCTCAAAACGAGTGTACCCCCGTCACCCGTCCCAGGCATCGCAGAGTGCCTCAGGAGATGCGGGCTGGAAGGTAGGCATTCCATTCAGCATTCAGCAGTCACTCTCACTCTCACCGTCCGCCGTGCAAGTGCGTGTGTCTGTGTGTGTGTGTCATATAGCTGTGGATCCGTGTGAGCTCAAGCGGTGCGGCAACCATGAGCGTTGAAGGGTCAACGACGAGGGCAAGGCGGTGTGCGAGTGCAGGGACCAATACGCGAGGGACGAAAACGGCGACTGCAGACACGTCGGGGGCTGGGGCGAGGGGTAGATATGATATGTGTCACAGAGATACACACACACCATCCATCCATCCATCCATTGTGCAGTGCATCCTCTCACTCCTTCACTCATCGTTTCCTGCCGATGTATAGGTGTCACGTAGAGGGGCGCTAGGTAGGCTAGGGGGAGACAGACAGAGGGGGACGGGACGGGACGGTACGGGAAAGGACAGCTGGACGCTTCTTTTTTACGTATGCTGTATGTACCATGGTGGCCATCCACCCCACCCAGCTCAGCCGCCTTCATACATACGTCCATCCATCCACCCATCCATGGCCCTTCGTCTCTTATTTGTAGTGAGTGAATCGGTGTGTATCCTTTATCTATCTATCGCTCTCTGTGTGTGACTCACTGACACAACGAATGCGGGCAGGCAGGCAGGAAACCACGCCACGCCCTCTGGCCTGGCCGCCTGGGTGGCGGCCGGCCGTGTGTGATGGACTGCCTGCCTGATTGTTTGCCGTTTACTGTTGGCCATCCATCCATCTGTGCTGCCTGGCATCCATGTGCTGGCTGGCTGCATGTGGCGACGGACGATGGGTGCGACTTACTTACTGCTTTAGTGGGTGGGTGGGGCTGGGTCGGATAGAGGCTTGGCTTGGCTTGGCTTGGCTGGGGTGTATTTGTTTGTCTCCTTCACTACCGTGAAGCTAAGCCGATCATCCTGGCTGGGGGCGGGGCGTGTCGATAGGGCAGGCAGGAAGGCGGAGAGAAAGAGGGAGGAGTGAAGTGCCTTTATCGCTTCGGTCGAGGAGGCGTGTGTCGTGCGTGTCGTGGTGTCGCTATACTCTGTAACTAGGCAGGCATCTGTAGTTTTTTCCAGGCGTTCTAGTAGTGATCCAGATCTGTCTTTTGTCTTGCCTTCATCCTTGAGGGTCACCTTTCGTCTGTCCCTCTCGGAGTCCTCCGATGCCACCTCGCCACCCTTCCATGTCACTCGTGGCATCGTGTGGGGTGGGTCGGTGGCGGGGCGGCGGCCGCAGGACAGAGAGGGCAGACCAAAGGAAGCAAGCAGCACCCACACACACCACAGACAGACAGACAGACCGGCCCTGTGTATCTGCCCGGCATGAGACCCTCAGTCAGTCTGTCATCTTGTTGTTACATTGGACACCTCCCGGCAGCTCACTGGCCTGCCTTCTGTCTTTCATGCCCGACATGACTTTGGTCTTTCTGTGCCGTGTGAGTGCACTGTGGGACTGAGGTGGTGGCGGGGGTCAAAGGCAAAGCGGGACAGAGAGGCCCTTAAAAGGGCATATGCATTCAGTGAGTGCGGAGTCAGTGGGGACTCCACTCACCGCAGATCGATGAATCCATCAAACGTCCGTATGTAGCAGCAGCTCAATGGACATCATCTTGCTCCATTCATCCCCCATTCATGGACATCCACCGCAGCGCTGCGAGCTTAGATTCGTCGGATCTCGAGCGTAAGCGATGGATACACATCCCCTCAATCAGGCCGCACGGCCCCCTTCCCCAGTCGAAGATCCCCTCATTCTCACCTTCATCCTACCCTTCCTCATCCTCGCGGAGAAGCTGACGTTTCTCACTGTCTGCCGTCAATGGAATGGCACCTTCTGGGGCGGTGGGAGGTCCTCCTTCAAGCTCACAAGCCGCATGCTGCTCAACCTTAACCCGCACCAGATGGCTCAGGTCGTCGCCAAGCTGTCGCACGTCCAGCGACTGACCGTGGAGCTTCGTTTGCGTGATGCCAATGGCCAGCGAGCCCGTCGTGTCGTTGAGGAGATCATCGGAGCTGTGTTCAGGAGTCCCGCCGTGCGGGGCAGTTTGCAGCACTTGGAGGTGTTTGCGCTTCAGCACCCCGAGCAGCCTTGGGAGATGGTCGTGGGCAATATCCGCAGGCATGTCCAGCGGCCTCTCGCTGTCACTCTGCGCAACCTGCGCATCAAACTCTACAGGTACGCATCCAAAGCAAAGGCAGCCAATGAGCTCTCGCCGGTCAAGTGATGCTATGCTGCCTGTTGACATTCGGTGCGCAGAGTCCGCGGCCGGCTCATGTTTCCCGCCGTCACCTTTCACTATGTTCGCCATCTGACGCTCATCAACTGTGACATTCGGCCCGATTTCCCCGACACAGTAGGGGGTGTTCCGCTGCCAGGTCTTCCCGGCCCATACGACGCCCTGTCTGACATCTCCATTGTCACGGCGCTGTCCGAACTTCCCGGCCCGTGGCGATTCCAGGTACCCCCACCCCACACACCACACATCTGCTCTGCTCGTGCATCCATCCATTCCTCTGCTCTTGTGGTGGTTGTCTTGTCTGGTTCGTGTCTTGTGTCTGCCTGCAGCATGCGATGGTTGGTGGGTTCATCAACAGCCCGACCATCAACCAGGTGGCGTGTCTGCTGGAGGCCTTCCGCCACTTCTGCGCCGCGCGCCTCGAGCGGCTGGCACTGCGTAACGTGGCCTACGCGCCCACGGCCGGGGTCGATTTCCGCGGTGTGGCTCCTCCTCCCTTCCACTGGACGGACGACGGAACCGAGAACTATCTAGACCGGCTGGATGAGCTGATCGGGGGTGGACAAGGGACGGCGGGGGGCACTGAGCCGGTGGCGACCTATGGAGATGCTCTGGTCAGGGGCGTCGCGCGGTTCCAAGACGCCCTTCACTCATACAACAACCTCCACTGCATCGAGTGGACGCAAGACGCCGATGGGCTTGACCCGGGCGGCGAGATGGCCCACCTGCGACGGTCATACGCCTTCATCCGGCTGCTGTTTGCACCGGGGGCCTTGGCGTTTCCCGCCATCCGAGACATCAGCATTGCCGGAGACCGTCTGCCGAGCGTGGCGACGACTGAGGCCGCCGCCCCGTCCAGCCTCCCTCAGCCGCAGACCAGCCGGCCGCAGTTGGTGAGCCGATTGGCTGATGCACTGCGGCGTGACTACTTGAGGGCGATGAGGGAGCGGAGTGCGTGGACCAAGGCTGAGAAGATCGGTGGGGATCGGCAGTGGGTGGCGGCGCTGCACAGAGGTGTGGTGGAGAAGTTGGGCCTGCTGTCTGCGTGGACGCCGAATCAGGGTGGCCAGCAGGCAGAGAGGTCGTGGCTCGAGCGGTAGTGCGTTCCGTTCGCGGTGGTGTCTGTCGGTGTGTGTGTGGTATGTGCGCTGTGCTCCTCGGCGTGGGGATGTGAACATTAGGGAGTCGAATCGAAAGCGATGTGCCACTACTGATGGAAGTTGACTGGTTGGTAGTATAGCCTTAGGTGAAAGATGTTTGATGGATGGGACAACCAGGTCAACGCACGTAACATGCGCAATACTCCATATCCATCCATCCATCCATCCATGCATCCATCCATTCATCCATCCATCCATCGCATGGGATGATGAAATGAGAAGGCAGCTGTACACTCGCAGAGACAAGACGAAGCAACGAACGCGTCAGGCCATTCCTCCCTCCCTCCCTCCCTCCCTCCCTGCGGTCAGTCGAAGTGGTATTCTCTCTGCTTCAGCAGCCTGTCCACCTTGCTGCCGATCTCTTGCAGCGCCGCCTGCATGGCGGCCACCTGCTGCTGTAGACTTGCAAGGGCACCAGCGTCGTACCCCTCCACCACCAAGTTGTGCACCTCCTCCAGCGTCTTGGCCGTCCTCAGCTGGTCCTCGTGGATCACATCCGCGTGATCTTCCAGGATCGCCAGATTCTTGTTCACCGTGTTGAACCGCTGGTCGACGGCAGTCCGCAGCTTGCTGATGGAGCTCTTGATGCTCTCAAGGGTCGGTTTCTGCAGCTGTTCTCCCTCCTCTTTAATGAGTGAACCGCCCATTGTGCAGGTGCCCTCCGCTGGTCGCTGCGGCTCGTGGCGTGAATCGATGGATGAGGCGTCGGTGGTGCCGAAAAACCCGACCAGCAAGGCGATTACCAACCAAACAGTCAACATCATCAGCGATGGGTCTGCATCCCTGTAAATCTCGGTAAACAAAAAAGAGGATTCCCCGCTTGTAGGGTAGGTCCCCAGCGATGAAGGTCTGACGGTGATGGATAGCCCTGAGGAGACCTCCTCCAATCCTCAGCGCCCGGAGGCCTCCAATTCTCACCTCTCGTCGGCAGAGGGGACTGATGCGGCGATAGATGCGGCTGCCAGTGGCCATCCAGCTGACGGCGAGAGAGGGGCGCTGGACACAGGCCCTCAGCACTACGGGCCTGGCAAACAGCTGCGGCTACTAGCAAGTGAGGGGAGAATGAATTCATGCACCGCAAATGGATAATGAAATCTCTGCTGATCTCTGCGTGCACCCATTGGCTGCAGATGACAGCTACATCAACTGGGACCTTTCAGTGGTGGATGAGCATCATCATGATGATAGTGTGGGCGATGACGCCTACCTGCATTCTGACGGGCCTGATCAGTCGCAGCCCTTCGTGACCCCTCGTCCAGGCCCCGCCAGCTCGGCTGCAGCCAACGACGATGCACTGTTCCACACGCCCTTCTCTCCCCACCACCAGCAGCCGCCGTCACGACTCGACACTGACACCGCAATCCGTACTGAAGACAGCCTACCCCTACCCCTCCCTGGCGCCGGCACTGAGCCCCCGCCACTGCCTCGCTTCGGCAGCCCCTCGCAGGCCACCGATGAGGATGTGCGAGACCGCTCGTGGGTTGTGGCGGAGGAAGGGGCGGATTGCCAGGGGGGAGAGGGCGCGGGTAAGGGGGATTCTGACGGTGGAGGCGGTGGTGATGGTGGTGATGGTGGTAATGGTGGTGATAGGGGTCGCGACGAGGACCATCGTCTGCTGACTGAGGCGCTGGGGAGGGCGCGGGCCGCCGCAGGGGGCAGTGGGTTGAAGGAGAGGAAGCGGGACTATGGGAAACCGTGGCTAGCAAATACGGTAAGGTGGGAGTGAAGCCATGATCCAGCGAGATCTGAATGGACGGATGGATGGATGGATGTGTGCAGTTGAGGGCCGAGGAGGGAGTAGCAGTAGCTGATGGTGCCGAGCCGGCTGACCCATCTGTACGCGCGTCCAGTCCACCTACCAAATATTTCCATCCACACAAAGACCTGAACTGACAAAGGGGGGCCAACCGCTGTCTTTGTGTGGGGTATGTATGCCGTCTGTCTGATCCGATCCATTCTCAGGTGTCATCAGGTGCGCGTCCGTCGCAGCTCTCCACTATATTAGATGCGGCCGGCGAGAAGGAGGTAAGGATGGATGAACCCAGAGAACAAGACAAAGAAAGTGCCCACATCCATCCATCCATCCATTCACTGCAGGGCGAGGAGCTGTTGTTCATCTACACCAAAGCTAAGGTGAGCGGGAGGGGACGCACCGGACAGGAGTGATCTTCCTTCCCATGCATGTTGTGTGTTTCTGTGCCTGTCGGTCAGGAGCTGTATGGCGGCATGCCGATCCGGGAGGCCCTGCGGCTGTATCTCGAGAAGGACGCTGGGGGCGAAGAGGGCCACCAGGATGGGGATGCACCCACGCCCGCACCTGCACCCATACATCCACACCCACACACACAGAACTCAAACCGTACGGACACACCACACCCACAGCTGAACACAAAATAGCTCTTGTCTGCAGACATCGCTGTGTTGTTCTGTTTTCCTCCGTGCAGCAGGTGCGGCCTGTCCCTCTCTGCCCCCGTCCGGACCGCCGGCGTCGCACACGCCCCCTCCCGCAGATGGCAACATGCAAGGCTTTGAGAGCCCCATCACCTTCGTCCTGCGCCGCCCCAACAAGTCGCCCATTCCACATAACGTCGAGCCAGATAGCGATAGGTACCCGAGAGGCATATGATTTACATACGCTGTATGTGTGTCACGTCTCGCCTTTCCCTCTCTTCGATCAGTTCTGTGTCGCCCGAGGTACCCCCGTTCCCCCATGCACTGGGCAAGCGGCCCCCAGGCAAGAAGAAGAAGGCAGCTGCTGCAGCAGCGGGCACCTCCCGGCTCCTCTCACCCCCAGCGGCGGGCGACGGCGGCACCGGCTCGTGCAACAACTCACCCATCGCCAAGAGACCCGACACACATCTGCAGTCGCCTTCGCCAGGTCTCGAGGAGCCTACGAAGCCCGCACCGGCCGCTCCGAAGAAGCCGGAAGGCGTTGTTGGCACACATCCCTTCTCGTCGGTGCCGAGCCTGAGCCCGTCACCTGGACGTCAGAGGGGCGGTGCTGGTGCTGGTGGTGGTGGTGCTGGATTGGCGGGCGGCAACACTGCAGCACGGGCCAAGAAGCGACACGGCGGGGGAGGGGGAGGAGGGCTGACCATGACACCCCGCAGCAAGAGGCACCCCGATCTGCCTCCGCGGCACCCCGGCAGCCGTCCGGGGCCACCATCCAAAGCAGTGCCACCTCTGCCCCCTGCCAAGCCAAATACCACCGAGCAATCGTCACATTCGCATCACCGTACTGAGGAGGAGCGCACCCCAGCCCAAGACCAAAACACCATCCGGCGGCAGCAGCAGCAGCAGGTGCCTCTGCGTCTGGAGGGCGGCATGTCGGGGGGTGTTGTGCATAAGGCGGTGGTTAAGCAATCGGGGACGGATGGGGGAGCTGATGTGCCTGAGGGTCCTAGCATTCAGGGGTGGGCTACTGGTGCTGGTGCTGGCGCAGGTGTTGGGGCTGCGGGGGTTGGGATGCGGCGGATGACTGCGGGAGGGGAGAGGGGCATGGTGGGAGGAAACATCAACATCCCGACGAAGGGTCTGCAGGTGAGCGTGAGAATTTGGTCACCAGACACCCACTACTGCTCCGCACAACACCTCTTGTGTCGCCTTCTCTCTCTCTCTCTCTCTCTCTGTGTGTGTGTGTGTGTGCAGGTGTACGGCAGCCCGCCCTCGTTCTATCCCGGCTACTTCTCGCCACCCATGCCGGGATTCTTCCCCCCGCAATCAGGTACAGAACTACTCCTCCACTCACACACACGATACATCGACCTCTCGGCGTCTGTGTCTCGGCCTCTGTGTCTCATGTCTGTCGAATAGGCCCCCTCCCGCGGCACCCGTCGGCTCCCCGGCCTCTGGTAGCTGTGCCGTCGTACCGACCGATCCTGTCCTATGGCTTCCACCAGACGAGCCGAGGCGTGTCCGTGCCCAACATGCAGCTGCAGGGCCAAGGGCACCGCCAACATCCACCACTCAATCCACTCAATCCACCTGGTCCAGAGAGCGAGCAGCCAAATGAGCAGGAAGCACAAAGATGTTCCTTCACGTTGGTTGTTTATGCAGGTTTCATGATTTACCAGCCTCGCCCTCCGCTGCCACCGCAGCAGCCCATCCGTGCGGCCACAGGCACCCAGCTGCGACACACACCCATACTACCCACAGGTGGGTGGGTGGGCATAGCTTATGCATAGCAATGGATGAAATGCATTCATCGGCCCACTTTCCTTGTCTGCACACACGCCTGCAGGGCAGCTGTACACGCCTTCCCCTGCCCGCCCCCAATTCGCCCCTCGCCCGCCACAGCACCCCACCCCACCACCAGCACCGGGCGCCCGTCTGCACCAGGGCGGCGGATTCATGTCGCCCCCATCGTTGGGCCTGATGCATGTGGCAGCAGCTGGGACACCACCACTGATGTCGCCACTTCCCAGTGCGATCGGCATGCACAGCCCGGCCACATTGGTGGGAGGGGGAGGGGGAGGGGGGCAGATGGTGGGCGGGGCACATCCACTACACACACAGCAGCGGGGGGGCTGGGCGAGGGGCGGTGTGCAAAGGTAGACAGACGGACAGACAGATATGGGCCATATGGGCCGGGGGGG